CGCTGTGATGACGTCAAATGCGCGTTTTCGTCGAGCGCGATTTTGTACTCCGCGGTTTTGTGGTGGAACCTTTAATTTGGAACATTACTAATAGTGTGGAAGATACCCTTTGTTGTGGTACATATGAAGACATTATCTGAGATTATAAGATTAGATAGGACATACAAATATACCATTACCTACATAATATTTTCATTATAATTATTAATTATTGCTAAAGTTTTCAGAGTTGATCCTTTTTTGGTACAGACTGGTACAAACCAACTTCACTTCACAGTTTTAACTTAGAGGTGTATGTGCTGCACATAAATTCTTTTGAAATATGATTAGAGCACATAAGACATCAAGTGCTATTCAGATTCTTGGAATTGGAATTTATTCGATTTGTAAGCCGCCCTATTCCCCAAAGGACTCAGGGCAGCTGAACAAAAGCCAAGGGAAGGGGAACAAATACAAAAAAGTAAGACAAAACAGGACAATGATACAAACGATTTAAAAAACACAACAAGCACAGCAAATTTAAGTAGGGGGGGAACTCAACCCCAGGCTTGCTGGGACAGCCAGGTCTTAATAAGACTAGATAAATTATTTGAGGATTTCCTTGATTACCATGTTGAATTAATTGTTAGTCTTGTACTACCAAATGTCCAGATCTGTTGCATTCTTATTAATCTGGGCCATACTGATTGAGATAGTTATTCTGGAAGAATTATTCTGCACACCTTAGAATCTGCCTTTAGGCAGCATTGGGAGGCCCAAACACTAACGAAAGTTTAAATATTATCATAAGCCATTTGCTTACCTCCATTTTTAAACTGTTTATTTCCTTCTTCTTTTAATGTTGCACTTTCATTTCTTCTTTTCTACAACAGAAATGTTTGAATTAATATAATAATTAACATTTTATAGCACTGTCTGAAATTAAAATCAATTTTCCATGACATATAGCAAACACTACCCAATTTTGTACTATTATGGTATCTCCCTGTTTTATGGTTTTTTAAAAAAAAATCATAGGAAGTATACTTCAAAAATTTAGATGGCATCTCCTAACCGGTACTACCAGATTTCACTGCTTAAAATTCTGGAAATGAATAATTTTCTATTAATATCTAGAGGCAAACTATAACCATACTAATTTTTTTTAAAAATTAAGAACCAATTGGTATCTAATAACAACACAAATTGTCCAGACGGAATTCAGGCTAGTTCCCAAGCCTAAAATACATAATTTTGTACAGAGTAGATACTACTACTCATATGACAAGCACTTCTATTTTGTAACACTTTATAAAGATTTATAAAGAAGATTTTATAAGCCACAATAAACAGTAAAAATAACAAAAGAATCAAAACCATAAAACTATGGAACCCTGGGCCAGGCACTGGGATATATTGCTTGGCCAGCCAGGGGTAGAAATATGCAACTGAATACCATTGACATATTAATACCACATCTTGCACTGTCGGATTATCTCTTCCATCTATTTCACATAAATATTAAAAAGAAGGGGTGACAGACACACGCCCCGAGACACCCCATACTGTGGATTTAGTCTTGCAACTCCAATCCTTAATTACAAAATCTAGCTGCAACCTAAAATATGATTTCCAGGAGTGGGATTCAGCTGGTTCGGACTGGTTTGGGCGAACAGGATGCTAATTTTACATCTGGTTTGCCGAACCAGTAGTTGCAAGGACTGGCTGGCCCTGCCCACTACACCCCATTCCTCCCAGGAGTCTTGAGACGGCCCATTTTGGATGCCGGGTAAGTGCAGACCGCGCGCAGAAGCTCTGAGAAGGTGCTCTAGAAGTTCCGGAAGTCTGGAAATTAGCCCATTTTCAGCCTCCAGAAGGCCTCTGGAGCTCAGGGGAGACCGTTTTCACCATGGGGTAGGTGAAAACACCCATCCCCCATGGGGCGGGAGCTGAGTAGGCCATGCCCACCAGGGCCACACCCACCCAGCAATCAGGCAGAGAACCAATTGATAAAACTTTTGAATCCCACCCCTGGTTTTATATATATATAAACAAGAGTTTTTTAAAACAATTGTTAGTGTTCTTATCTCACTTTTAGCTCTCTGAATTAGACTCAATCAATGTTTGTAGAAAAACAAATGTTATTTGCTACCATGTACTTTTCAGTCTCCAAGGCTTGATAAAAATTACATGAATAATTTATGAAACTACCATTTAATCAATAGCTGGACTGGAAAAGAGGTTTGAGGAATGGAAGTTGTAAGTTGTACAGTCCTCAACATGTATAGCTTTGTTTCTCAACTTTTCACAAAACCTAGCTTCTCAATTCTTCCCATCACCCCCTCACTCTTTTCATAGCTTAGTCCTAATTAAACTAAACATATTCTCTACCCTAATTTCCTTCTAGTACACAGTCTTCCCATGGTCCTTTTCTCCTTACATCCATGACTGCCTGACTTCAGTCCTTAATCATCTTGGCTATGTCTCAAATCTGTTTCCTTCATCAGGTGTTATGACATCACAAGAACTCAAGTGGTTTCAAGGCAACAGTCTATCCTGTACCATGGATGTAACTAATACATACCTCTGGTCCTGTTTTAATAGAGCACAGCTAAGATAACCCACACCTAACACTAGCAATCAAAATATTGATAATCATCTGTAACATCGAAGTTTGGCTGATGTTAATTTAAAAAACAAACTGCTTCAAACACATTCAATTTTATTGACTTTCCACATTTCTACATTTGAATTTCCAAGTACATTATTAACAGAATGCTGCAAGCTATATCAATAATGCACGCTGTATCTATGTTTCCTTTTAGAAGCTTAATAGCAAAAATATTTAATTACACCCTCAAACAATATAGTATCCAATTAATGAAAATTAAGCTAAAGTACATATCAAGGGGATCAAAATTTAACACTCAAGATATTCAAAGGGTAAAAAATGGAGTTTTGTAGTAGTACAATATTATGTAATCCACCATTTTTATATTAATTCAGAATTAATAGAAATTGAATAAATCCCAGTATAACCTTTTATTTTAAATATGCTAGACTATAATTCATATCATTCCCACCTAGCACAGCTAACACATCTGGAACAAAGCAAGATGGGGAGTTATCAGCTCAGGAAATAGCAGATTCAACAGTCAGGTTATAACATTTGTGTAGCTTCTCAGTAAGTAACAAAAAAGATTAGACAAAGAAAATCCTTTACAAGGTTTTTTTAATTGTGTATATATTTCATACATGACTTCAGCCTCTTCAGATATAAGTTGTAAGCTGACTGGAAAATTTTAAATGGAAAATTCCAAGCTTAGGTACATATTTTGCTGAATCACACATCCTTTTTCCTCACATTAGCTCTCTGCATACAAGTAGTTCAACTCTATCTGCAGGCAGGAACTTTAAACAATGCATCCTATGCTTTGACTCTTATTAGAAACTAGATTCCATTAAACAAAAATTACAGAAACAATCTATCAGCATGGGAATTTAAAACTGCAGGACAAAAATATTCCTGCTTCTGTTAAATGAGAAATATACTGTAACAAAATACTTAAATATTAATATGTATGGACATTCTTAAAGCTAAACAAAGCTTTAAAAAAAACTGAATCTAGAAATTTAAGCTCCAAACAGATCATATTACTTGAAAGCATCATGGTTAGCACTTCTTGTTAATGAGGCTAGTCTCGCTTCAAGAGCAGCCCTCTTTACAATGGACCAGTACAATGAATCCAACCATCAGTATGAACTGCTATTTCATCCAGCTCATTTTAAAAAGTCCATGAGACTTGGATTTCTTACACTCAAAATCCAAGAAAAACACAGACTCTTTGGAAGATGCACACCTCCCATTTTCAGATTTAGAGAATGACAAGCAAAAGATAATGTAATCTATGGAATCGAAATAAACAGAAGGCAAGCAAAACTAATCAAGATTGTGATAAGAAAAAAACCATGACACAGGACACTTAATTTTATGAGAAAATAATGACAAAGCTTGCAATTATACATAGCAGGATCAGAAATACTTTTCCTTAAATCAAACATGTTAGGTATGAACCAGGAAGAAAGGAGACGAGATGACAGAGTGCTGGTCCAGTATTTATCCCAAAATGCCACATATTAAAATATTTACTAACCGACTACAACCTGAATGACTTTACAAATTAACTAGGAAGCAGATTCCATGTAGCTGTGTGGGACTGCTTCTGAATAAATATGAAGATAGGTTGCAAACACTATTAGGAACTCATTTTAAAAGAAAATTTGAATCGAACAAGGAATGTTTAACAGCCTACATATTAGCATTCCAAATAGAAACACAGATATGTTTTTGTTGCAAACAACTGCAGATATTTCCAAGCAAGTACATATAGTCACAGTAATAGTAAACAGCTATTTACTATTATTTTTAAAAAAATATTTGTATCTTTAGAACATACCTCTTTTTCTTCCTCTGACATGTTTTTTTCCAGTTCCAGCAATTCTTTTTCATCTAGATCCACCTCATTTTCTAAAGAATCTGTCTCACTGTTGTGATTCTCTTCCACCACTCTTGATTCAAGAGAGTCACTGCAGTCATGGAAGAGATCATCATCCTCAGACAACTGACTCACACCTTCTTTAACGACTCTGGGGATATATGCATGATGTGTAGGACTGCTCTGTTTTTCTGAGAGATTCAAATCCTCAATTAATTTTTCAGGAGCAACAGCATCTTCAGACTCCATGCTGAACCTGCAATGCAAGACAAAGAAATTATATCAGGCAGCAGCTTTCTCAGTATCTTTAAAGATAGATAGAAACATATTTCTTTAAAAAAAATTAAAGATAGAGAATTTTGTAAAAACTGGTATTTGTGCCTAAAAACACATTTACCATTTATTTTTGTTTCATCTAAAAAACCCTATATAAAAATATTTAACTATTTTGAGGCATAATTTGGGGACAGGTTAAATGATACATAGTTTGATATTGAAAAAAATACTTTTTTCTTGTGGCTCTATTAATTGCTCAACATCAATTGGCAAAAAGTTAACCAAAAACAAATTAACTCCATTTTGCATCTGTGTAAGTGATAGGAAATTATCACTAACTGCAACTAGAAAAATATTAAACTGCAAAGAATTTGTTGGTTTTATTTTCAAGACACCCTGGATCACACATATCCCTATTTAGCAAAGCCTATGCAATTGCAACTATACTGTAAGTACATTATTAAATTACATTGTGCAAAATCAGAAAAAAGAGATTGTTCATGAGACCATGCTGTAATTAATTACAGGCAAGCAAGTTGCCTTCAGTCAGATCATGCTGGATCAACCCACTGTTCTAAATACCATTTGTTTTCTGCAGTCTCATACAATATCTTTTCAAACCATGTTCTTTATTGTACAGTACTGGAGATACCAGATATTTAAATTTTTGCAGTTTTATCATTTAAAGGATGTCCTTCACCAATTATTATTTTTTATTTAACAGAGTCATAATTCGTTCAACATTTCCCTCCCCCCCAAATTGTTTAACCTAACTTTTTTTTGGGGGGGGCACATACAAATGATACTCTCTAAACTGAATCCAATAATTTCCATTTCTAAGTAACAAACCCGACCTAAACTGCACAGCGTGGGCACCAGAAGTGCAGCATCTTTGTCAGCTGACCCCACCATCTCCTAAAACGAAATGCAAAACCGTGCCACAGGAAATCAAGAAAAACTAAGTCTCCAGTCCTGTTTCATAGTGCAATTCAATGCACAGAATATTAAGATGCCCTGAACATTGTCAAATCAGGAACCATGCCCTCCTCCCCCAGCATTTTCCAATGCCAGTCTGGAAGGAAAGCATTATCACTCAAAACATCGAAATCTCTGGCCAGCTGCTCTGGGTGGCACGCTTTTCCAAACCAGACTGGGACCCACACACCCCTCCCTTTCTTCCCTATCCCTCTGCTTGCCTGATTCTACCAGGTCTCTAACTGTTCCCCTCATCAGCAGCCTCCTCGAGCTCCAACCCCTCCCCCGCGTCCACAAAGCAGACCACTCAACCTCCAGCCCCACCCCCACCGACCTGACTTCTTGCGAACTTCTTCCTGCAACTTGGTCTCCCGCAAAGACGCCACTTCCGGTTTCCGGCTCAAGTCGATTAGTACGTAAATAGCCGGGCGGCGCCAAAGGCTCCAGTCAAGCGTCTCGGGGCGAAGAGGACGACGGGTGACGTTGCATGCCAGTCATGGCAAGGACCAATTGCTGCAGACAAGGCGGGATGTTAGAAACAGGAGCAGAAAACAAAGACTTTTTTTATTTTTTGTACCTGGGGTGATTTTTGTGGTGGTTATTCCAGATCTGATTTGTTTACAGTGTTACATCCTACATTAAGGTTAATGAGGGAGCAATGGATCAATAAGGAATGCTCATTGAGATGACTGCCCCGTCGAATCTAAGTCATTCAAGCGAAACTTCTGAAACGAGAGGCTGAGATTTGTTAATTTTTTTCCTTCTCTTTTTCGTTTCCCTGAAGTTTCCTCTACTGGGTTTTGTACTTCTGACCATATGCAGAGTGTTTTTCTCCCTGCAATCGTCTATTTTTGGAATTTTCACAATCAGTCTTGTGTTTCTAGCTACTACTGCGGCTGCCTGCAATTCCGGCAGTTCGATTCTCAACAGGCTCAAGGTTGACTCAGCCTTCCGAGGTCGGTAAAATGAGGACCCCGATTGTTGGGGGCAATATGCTGAGTCTGTAAACCGCTTAGAGAGGGCTGTAAAAGCACTATGAAACGGTATATAAGGCTAAGTGCTATTACTACTTGGCTGGGAATAATACTGTGATTGAAGCAGACAATTGAATTTCCGGCTACTTTGCATGTAGGTCTACCTTCGTACTTTAAAAATAGCTTCCCTAGTGGTAGTAAAACAAGTCTACATCAAACATTTGGGTGCATTTTACCATCTGACTGAAAAGCAAGGTTAATATAAGAAATGTTTTTACAAGGCCAGAGTCCTAGGTAAGCCCTAATCTTATCAGGTCACAGCAGGTGACTGCACTTAGTTGACTCTGGCTAATCAGGATCAACTCTGGTTAGTGTTTAGATGAGAGACCATCAAAAAAAGTGCTATAGCTTAGGGAACTTGAAAAATAATTCAGAAAGAAGGTGGCAGCTAATTATTTTTACTTTGTTGCCAAGCAAACTGGTAGATGTGCCCATGAAATCATCAGCCTTAGATAGTATTTCATACTTTCTCAATGAACGCTCCCCCCCCCCCATGCACACAGCCAATCAAAATTGTTTAAGTAGTCTTAGATTAGCACAATAGATCTCAAATGCATAAATCCAGCTGGCAGCAATGAGATTCAGCACACCTCTAATTTTCTGCAGCCATTTAGTGCTCATCTGGGCAGTTACTGCCTGCCTCTGCTAGCCCTATTAGGTAAAATGTTCCTTGACTTGAAAATGAGGGTGGAAGAGTTGCTATTAACAGTTTTGCTTCAAGTCAGAGCAGAGGTGGGTTCCTACCAGTTCGCACCTATTCAGTAGAACCGGTTCGTCAAATCTACCGAACCGGTTAGAAGAGGTTCCACCAGTGGACCNGTGTGTCTGTGTGTGCGCGCGCATTAATTGCAAAAAATATAGGTATCATTTTAAACTACTGCCAGACTTGGAGTTTGATGAAAGGATGAAAAATGGCATCAAGAGAAGGGGAAACTGCTCCTCTTCCTCTGGATCAAAATATATCCCAGTGTTAATCATTAATAATCAAAGTAATATTACTAAACATAAAAATGCACTTTCCTAACAAAAGTTTCAGCCATAGCCACACGATATAATAGTCTCCAAGACAAGCGTGCATAAGGAGTCTATAATCGCAGGCCTTGCCATTCTGAAATACTGACAAAGAGCTGCATGTGTGAAATGGTTCCAAGGCAATAAAGAAAGTAGGTTAGAATAGGAGAGAATTTGATGGCAACCAAGAACTCAATTCTTGCCAAGAGAAATTTGGCTCTTTACTATGGTGTTTTTTTTGTTTTTGCTGTCTTCAGATGGCATGTATCTTTTCCCATGAAAAACTCAGGTTGTCACTAATATGCAAGAATACTTTTTTTTTAAGGTGGTAAACACAGCATGTTTCAGCATTTGGCTACACTAGTCTGGGCTTAAAAGCCAAACAGGGCCAGGCCTGATTAGTATTTGCAGGGGTACCACCAAATCCCAGAGTTGAAGGTTAGGCTGAGTAATTTTTTAAAAACCATCCAGAAGGAAAGCAAGAGCAAATTACTTCCACACTGTTGTCAAGAATCATGTGAATTTCTACTTTTATCTAAGCAAAACATCCAGGAAACTGAAATATTCTGCAAAATTAAACAGAAGCAGATACTCTTCTGATAATGGAGTCTTCCAGATAAAGAACATCATGAAGAATGTAAACCTTTGTGAGGAATGCACGAAGAATGCACCCAACATCACTCCTTCCCAAAGAGTCTTCCCAGTTCTGGAAATGATTTTTTTTTCTCATTCCTTTTCAAAAATTGTTCAATTATTGACTTTACTACTATCTTTCTTCTATCTTTGCCAAAAAATATGGCAAGAAACACTTCCAAGATGCTTTTCTATTTAGGCTCTCCTTTTAACGCAAACACTTGGAACAGATATTGTTACATTGCTGTTTCTCATACCCTGTTTCCCTGAAAATAAGCCCTCCCCGGATAATAAGCCCAATCGAACTTTTGAGCACATGTGCTAAAATAAGCCCTCCCCAAAAATAAGCCCCGGATAATAAGCCCAATCGAGCTTTTGAGCACATGTGCTAAAATAAGCCCTCCCCAAAAATAAGCCCCGGATAATAAGCCCAACAGGGCTTATTTAGCATGTGCTAAAATAAGCCCTCCCCTGAAAATAAGCCCTCCCTGAAAATATTGCAACACAGCAGCAGCCATGAGGTGACCATGCTCGCCACCTCCTGCACCTCAAAAATAATAAGACCTCCCCGAAAATAAGGCCAAGTGCTTATTTTGGGGGTCAAAATTTTCAGGGAAAACATGGCATATATTATGTTTTTATAGAATTCCCCTGATACAGTATCATTCTCGGTTTGATGTGCAATGCTAATGTGCGTTTTGAAGCTGATGTTTTGTTTTTTCTTTCAAAACCGAACCACCACTCACAGAGCTTTGCCTGCAATTTTTTGGAATACCATAAGTAAGACTTTTGTCAAGTGCTTATGAGTCAATATCTCTAGTTCCTATGCATGAATGTATTTAATGGGCATACATAACTGAATATATGAATGTACTATAAACAAACATACAGGCAGTCCTCGATTTACAACCAGAAAAGGGACTGGAAAATTCATCAGTAAATGGTGAGGTTGTAAAGCAAGATGTCATGGGACTGTCAACTTCCTTCCCCCTTGACCTTTCTTGTCAGAAGCCATTTGGGAAGGTTGCAAATGGCAATCATGTAATTGCAGGATGTTGCAACTAGGACTCGTTTTTTCAGCACCTCTGTAACTTCAAATGGTCACTAAATGAATGGTCATAAATCAAGAACTAACTGTACTTTCTAACAGCTTCCTCTAACACACCAGGCTCTCATAAAGTATAATGTCAACAAAATCCCATCCTTGCCTCTACACCAATAGTTCCCAAATGGTGATTCTCAGGAGCCTTTACATTCTTCAAAATGTTTGAGGATCCCAAAGAGCTTTGGTTTATGTGAGTTATACCTATTAATATGTATTGTATTAGAAATTAAAACTGAGAAATGTTAAAACCCTTATTTGATTTCATCCGTCCCCAGGCAACACTGTGACAACCACTGCTCTCAAAGATGGTTCACAGTTATTATTATGATTGATTATGTGCCATTAAGTAATAATTGACTCCTAGCAACCACATAAATAGGGTAGACTTTCTTCAACAGAGGCTATCATTTCCATAATTATACCAAGCACAAATTTTAAAAAGTACCAAGACCATGAAAAAGAAAATGTGGGCAACCATAGTAACAGATTCATTTACAAAGGACCAAGCTTATATAACCAAAACAGCTACCACTCAAGAATGAAAGTAGGATGTGATCAATTTGAAATCATCAAGTACTGTATTTCCTTGGTTTGTTATTTCAGACTAGCTTTGCTGTTCTCTCTCTTTCTCCCTCTCTCCCTCTTCCTTTCTCTCTCTCTCTCTCTCACTCTCTCTCTCACATACACACACATTATGGGGGAGGAGGCATGCAAGTAGCTGCAGAAAAAAGAGTAAGAAAGAGTAAATCAAACCAAGAATAAAAAAGGAAATGCAGCCAAATCTAATTTACTTCAACACCATTCACTATATCTGTCATCTTTTTATTCCTGCAATCAAGCCTTGCTTCCATTATGTCTATATACTGTGCTACTCATTAATTTTTATTGTTTAAATTTCCCACTTTTCTCTTTTTCAGGATTGTATTATTAACTCCATCTAACTGCAATTTTTTGCTCTTGACCCCTTATTTAATTTTATTAATTCTTTCTGTGAAATCAAAACACATAACACTTTTGTTCACTCCACATTCATTCACATCATTAATGCTTGTCACTTTTTTTGTTTTATCACAGTTTTTCAGTATCCAATTCCCATTGTATTCTGTGCATTTTCCTGACATACCCAACTCTTGCTTTCTTTGGCAAACGTTAATTTCTTACAACAGGCTATCTACCATCCATTGTCTACTATCACATTTCTCCATCCATTATCCTAGCTTTAGTAAGAAGTGTATTAATGTATGCAAATTGCTCTCATTTTCTACCATTTATGTACAATTAGCGATTTTTTCATCCAATTTTGCTTATCTTGCTTTTTGATACATTAATTTTGAGGACCATATTCCTCTTGAGTCATAGAATCAATCCAGCATTTGCTACAGAAAAAGTTGGGTTCTTAGCCAACAATTGAGCATTGTCTATATACAAAAATGCATGCATATTTGTATTCCCAACCAACACAGCTCATTGTTCCCACAAGCATTCCTTATTCATCCATAAACACATAAACAACCAAGGGGAAAATATATAATCTTAGCGCCCTCCCTAAACTATTTGGCAAACATTTATTCTCATGTGTGTTTTGCTTCCACCTGCAGGATCAGCAACAAAGCCTCAACTCCATTATTTGAGCAAGTGTTCCACAGTTCAAGCCTATTTTATCTCTCTCTCCAAATCAATAAATGAACAATAAACTTGTTTTCTCAATTCATGGTTTTACAGTGACCTTG